AAAAACCAGACGGAATTGATGTTTAACAAAAGCCAAAAAATTTAAAAAAAGATAATTTCGATATTTAAAAAAATACCTATACATTTTTTACCTAGTTTATTCAAAGCGTCTTTTTGTGTATGTAACTTTTATATATCTAAAAGTGTTAAATACATACAAGAATATTATTTTTGTAACAGGTGAAAAAAAATCGTTTAATATATATAATAACTTCATTAGATTTCGTGGTCCGATTGACAAAATAACATCTTTCAATTAATTAATCTTTATGTAAGGTATTGGTTGAGATAAAAAAGTCAGTGTCACGAGCGGGATTCGAACCCACGACCTTCGGCTAAATCCGCGGCTGTTCTACCATTAGAGCCATCGTGACTTCGATCCACTCGGACACTAATTTCCCACCTCAATCCAACCCAATGAATTTTCCCTCCTTTGTGCCATTTTTCAAATGTCGTGTAATCTATTTGGAAAAAAATGGCAAAAAGGAGGGAAAATTCGAAAGATTGGGTTTAGGTGGGAAGTTAGGATCGAAGTCACGATAGCTCAAATGGTAGAACAGCCGCGTATTTATCCAAAGGTCATGGGTTCGAATCCCGCTCGTGACACTGACTTTTTTATCTCTACCAATACCGTACATAAAAATTAATTAGTTAATATGAAGGTAAAAATCGCATTTCAGAAAAAAGTTTTATTTGAAGTTTAAAAGAGTTAAATTAATAGAAAAGCTATATGAGTTTCAGGGTTTTTATTCTTCCAAATATCTTTTGTTATTTTTTATTTGGAAGGGTCAAAATTTTAAATTGAATTTCAATTTGCCAGATATATTTGTGGCCATTTTATCTTATAGTTCTATAAATCCTTAGTCTGTAGGTCCTTAGTTTACATATTATTTAGTTTTTGTCTTAAGATAATGTTTGCGTTTTTTTATACCATCCTTCGGATGAATGAATGCAACGGTGACAATCCCAGAGCCACTTCCATTGCCCGGGTTTGTGAGTCAGACCCTTTTCTCGTCTGTTTGTTTTAATTTAAACCTAAGTAAAGGAAATGAAGAAATTTGTAAAAACAGGGAATGATGGACGAGATACACCCTAAATGAACGAAGAGAAGTAAAAATAAGTAAAAAAAAAAATTCGAAAAGGGTGCCGTTTTTCCCCCCCAAAAGGTTCCCCCAACCCTCTGAATTTGTGATGTGTGGGAGAGAAAAGGATTTACTAAGTGTGCCAAAGTAGGGTGCGCTTCCTTATTTTTCTTAGTCCTATTTACGAGGCGGTGAAAAGTAGGTAGGAAAAACGAGGTAATTGGGTTAGGGAAATTAAAGTAGGAAAAGGGGGTTTAAGGCACGAGTAGGGGAGTAAAAGGGAGAGTAGCGGAGAAATAGAAGATCGATGTAAAAGGGGGCGTGGCCAGGGTGGAGCCCTCTAACCCCTTCCACCCGCGCACTATACATAACTATGCTCATACGCAATGAGAAAATTGGAAAAAAAAATGAAAAAATGCCCTCTCAACAACCAGTAAAAAAGAGGAACACAGAGGGATACATACAATTATTCCCGTATTAAAGGGAAGAGAAAAAGTCAGTCATTGAAACCATATTGAAGCGGACGGGTAAACGTAGCGGCCTTTGTTGCTTTTCCTCGAGACTCCTTCGATCCAGACGTCCCGGGAGAAAACTCTCCGACTCCCATTGGTCGAGGTACAACCCTTTGTTCTACTTTTAGAGTTCCTTAAGGCGTTTTGTGGTCACCCTCTCGAAAATTTGCATAGCTACCCTTCGCCCACCCACTCGACAACCCCTCCTTAATATTGATGATCCTTCTCCTTTCGGTGTTACACGGCCCCTCTCCCAGCATCCTATTACGCTGCGCATGACTTTCGTCTTAAACCGGCTCAAGACATAAAACCTTTTCTAATATTGTCCCCGCTCCTTCTTTCTGACTATCCCTCTGACGAAGTCCTTACACCCGCAAAACACCTCTGACTCATTTCCTTTCTTTATATTTATTTATATATCCTTACTACCTCTTCTTTCAATGCATTATCTTTAGAAACGCAATAAATATGCACGAGCATGCTCGAATTAACTTATGTACTAAAAACACAAGAAGAACCTCAGTTGTCTGAGATTTCATTCCAATGGACTCCTGATCCGAGAAAAAAATATTTAAATAATTTATATAAATTTTAAAAATATAGGTTTCTGGCTTTGTTGTGCATGTATTTCAAGGCTATTTTATTTTAGACGATTTTTTAAAGTAAGATAAGAATATAATATAGAGGGTTTTATTAAACGAGATCAGTTATATAAAACGTTTCAAAAACGAAAAATCTCTTTTGGTCAAATATTTAAATAATTTACATAAATTTTAAAAATATAGTTTTCTGGCTTTGTTGTGCATGTATTTCAAGGCTATTTTATTTTAGTCGATATTTTGAAGTATGATAAGAATATAATATATAGGATTTTATTAAACGAGATCAGGTATATAAAAAGTTTCAAAAACGCAGTGTCTTTTAGGCCAAAATAATTCTTTCTGAAAAAAAAATGTTTCTTTTATGCAACCTTTATTATAACTTATTTATGTTAAAACATACTCGTTGGGGTCTTTTTACTTAGGAACTAGCTTTAATATGTCAAGACTTAATTTTAAATAATTCAATATCTAATATTTGCTGTAGCTCATTAAAAAGAATTATCTGTCAAGAAAAATTGTATTGTGTAAAAATTGTGCGGATGTAGGGGTCAAAGATTTTTTTTTTGGTTTATTTATTTTTTTTTTTTGTGGCAATACTAGTTTGAATCTGGTAGATACATGTCAACACGTTCTTCCAATGGGATGTAGGGTCACAGATTTAATTTTTTATTTATTTATTTAATTTTTTTTATACTAGATTGAAAATGGTACACGCATGTCGTTACGTTCTTCTAATTGAATGTAGGGTCTCAGATTTAATTTGTATTTTGTTTATTTTTTTGCGATATTAGATTGAAACTGGTAGACACATGGCAGCACGTCTTCCAATGGGAGTAGGGTCACAGATTTAATTTTTTATTTATTTATTTTTTATTTTTGGATACTAGATTGAAAATGGTACACACATGTTGTTACGTTCTTCCAATGGAATGTAGGGTCACAGATTTAATTTTTATTTAGTTTATTTATTTATTTTTTGGCGCTACTAGATTGAAACTGGTAGACACATGGCAGTACGTTCTTACAATGGGATGTAGGCTCACAGATTTTTTTTTGATACTAGATTGAAAAATAGTAGACATAGTAGTCACGTGTCGGCGCGTTCTTCCAATGGAATGTAGGGTCACAGATTTTATTTTTTATTTGATTTTTTTTGCGATATTAGATTGAAAAATAGTATACGTTAATTTTATCTATTAACATAAGCACTTTTTATTAAGATAATTGTAAAATTTTGGAAATACGATTTTCTTTCTAGTATTTTCTTCAAAACATTTTAAGTTATATACAGTACGTTGATATTTTAAACAGAAATTTTTAATATTCTTGGACTGATTTACGTCGATTTTATCGTGTTTTGCAATAGGAAACGTACTTAAGAATACAAGTAAAAAAAAAAAAAAACGAAATTCGAAAAAATTTGAAGATACGGCCGCATTTCTTCTTAGCAGAGTAGGAACCGAAAAAATAGAGAGTCTTTTATTCTCCATGTATTTCATATTTTTATATGTTAGTCAATTTGTATGGTACTTAGAACAACAAAATAATAACCAGGGCCCTATTAGATGAGATTAAATACATAAAAAAGTTGCAAAAGCCAATCGTTTTCAAGAAAAACAATCTGGGTTGGTTTTAAGCACCATTTAAAGCTCTTCAGGGCGAATTTTTAGCAAACAAAATATTCCTTTTTTGCCTGGATTAGCCAGCGCCACGATATTACGAACATTTAAAGCTGGATGTTTTTATAACCAAAAAGGAAAAATAGTAGTATTTGTAGCCAAAATATTATTTGATTTTCTAAACAAATTGTACCTAGGGTTTTCGGACGTGTAAAAAATTAATATCAAATTTGTTTCCTGCTCAAAAAAAATTAATTAATAAAAAAAAACTTCAAACCATTCATAAGTTATATCTTTTTTCCGTCAATTAACCCTTTTTGGCAACAAGTTAACACTGGAATTACAAATTAACTTAATTTAGTAATAATTAAAAATAAATTTTATTTCCTGTAGCTGTAGAATTTAAAAAGTAAAATATCAAATGATTCTTCAATTCATTATAGATTTTGTTAAATATAAAATAATTATTATGTATTTAAAAATGTCGAATTATTAGAAGAAACATTTTTTTCATATTTACTTGAATAACTTTTAATTTTAATTCTAATTAATTGTATGTATTTTTGGTATAACTAATTTTATATAATTAAAAATTTAAAAAAATCATATTAAAAGAAGAATATTTTAATTTTACATTTAGGTTTATATAACTTTTAATTTTAAATTTATTTAATTTTCATGTAGTATTTTAGATAAGAATCAATTGTGTATTTTTATAAAATTTTCAAATTAAAAGGATAATCGCTTAATGTGATATATACATTTTAATTTTGATGTTATTTTTCATGTGTTCTCCTAATTCCTGGAGAATGCAAAAATATACATAATATATAAAATAGTATTAAATAAACTTAGACATATAAAAAGTTACAAAAACTATATGACACTCTCAAAAAAGTATGTACAAATTATTTTTTATGAAGTTTAATTTGTTTTTTAAACGACAAATTTGTTTAAAAACTATTAAAGCTAATAAATACCAATTTTATATTAATAAAACATATACATCATGTGTACAATTATATTAGATAAAACACATACAAAGCCTTAAAAACCATACGACACTGTCACTAAAGTAGGAAATTTTTTTTTAAACAATTCAAATTCGTTTTAAGTGCCCTTTAAAGCCATTAAATACGAATTTTAAGTGGCAATTTTTTTTCTCTGTTGTTCGGTGAATCCATAAAAAATTATTAGAAAAAAACATTTCATTTTTCATATTTCATTGAATAACTTAATTTTAATTCTCATTAATTTCGATGTAGTATTTTTGGTATAACTAATTTTTTTATAATTAACAATAAAAAAAATCATATTAAAAGAAGAATGTGTAGAGATTAGTGACCGTTAATCGATAACCCTAAATGTAATTGTTAAATGTAAACATTGTTTGTAAATCCCAGGCCCTGAAGATGATCTCAATAAAAGATCGAAACGTTGGCACGATAAAGAAAATGTTCTTCTGAAACCTACATCACACCAGACCGCATCTCACGATATCTGAATAACTAAAAGAAGGATCTTTTAATTTTACATTTAGGTTTATATAACTTTTAATTTTAATTTTATTTAATTTTCATGTGGTAGTGTAGATAAGACTCAATTGTGTATTTTTATAAAATTCTCAAATTAAAAGTATTATCCTTTATTTTGATACATACATTTTAATTTTGATGGTATTTTTCATGTGGTCTAACAGCCCATTTATTTTATATTAAAAAAATATCGCAATTGTACAGGAATTTCGCTTTACATACATATATTTCATACCATCTCCTAAGTTTTTAATTCTTATAACAGCGTTAGTTTGAAATTTAAAAGTGACAATTATAAATTAACATGGATTAATTTGAAATTAAAAAGAGTTAATTTTGAATTTAAAAACAAGTGTTAATTTGAAATTCAAAAAGTTCAATTTGACATTAAAGAAAGAGTTAATTTTAAATTAAAAAGAGTCAATTAGAAATTAAATAGGGTTAATTTGATGGAAAAATTTATTTCTTTATCTACCCCATATTTTGGCTACTTGCTATATAGAACTTTTGACGTAGTGACCGAGCTACATCCTTCCTACTTACTTTTTATTTTTTTTGGAACTGTAGTCTCATATTAAGTATTTTTTTTAAAGATTTGTTGGATCTTCTTCATTTACTTGTAATTAATACCATTTTATCAAAAAAGGTTCCCAATTGAGGAGGGTAAAATTCTGTGCAATTTGTCCCTTATTTCAGTTTCCTAACTGTTGAGAACCCCTATTTGTATTATATATATAAACATATAGTGTATATTGGACTCCCTTGTCGACGGGGCGACACATCTCTTAATGGAACGTTACATGTTTATTTATGAGTACAGATCTCGAGAGTTCAAGACTGACTTCGGCCCGGAGCAAACACGCCTTGTCCCCTGTCGTCTCTTTCGCCGACACACTACCGCATCACAAAAGCAGTTTTAATTACTTCTGTTATGGAATTGGGCACAGGATGGGCGAGATCCAGGATTTCGACCCTTAACTCCACCAGGCACCTTAACCCACCTCCCGAACAGACCCAACACCGCACACTCACGGCAATTCAAGTGATACAATTAGACCTCTCAATTAATAAATTATTGTACCATTGATTTCCCTTTAATGGCCCGACCCTTTCTAAAGCTCGTTCTATCTTTCTCGCCTATTAATCAAGTATAATTATCACTGGAATTTAAGATTATGGGAAAATGGAGTGATTTCTACTGTTGTCTGCATGATGAACCTGCGGTAAATAATAACTTTTGATTTGTCTGTTTTTCGCTTTCAAACTTCCCGCCATCATGTATGTCGGATGAAGATAAGTTATGTCAAAAACATGTTAGGATAGGGAGTCGAAATTGATCAGAAATGA